ATAAATTATTTATTATTAAAATTATAATTATTAAATTAATTAAATTATATTTAATTTTAATTAATAATTTAAATATAATTTATATAAAATAGAAAGTTTATTAATTATAATATTAATAAAAATAAATTAAAGGTTTATAATATTTCGGTAATAATTTATATAATTAAAATAATTTTTTTAATAAATTTAATTTTTATTACAATAATAGTTTTTAATGAAAAAAAAATTTTAAAAGAAAAACGATTTTTAAAAAAAAAAAAATTTTTAAAAGAAAAACGGTGGTCGCCCAGGTAACAATTATTTAAGAAATAACGTTACCTCTTTAATAAATAATGCATATAAGAGGTACGGTATTCCGTTAAGGAACCGTTTCTCAAAACTACCCTTTGCCGCTATAGTAGTCGAGCTCATCGCCAAGACATTATCTCCAATGGTAGGTACCTACCTAACCTAAGGCAATTTTCAAATTTTCATTGTCGTACCTACAGGTAGGTACCTATCAACCATACTACAGTCTTCAGAAGCCTCGGCATGTTATGATAGAGCCCAAGAATTATTTCGACCCAAAGCGCAAGGACCTTGTCTCGTATCGATGCTCTCAATCACTACTGTCTCCGCTATTTGAAGCTGCTCTATCAAGCAAGTAGACCGGCCGGTCGTAGTGAATAAACATTTAAGTTCAGTCTTTCTTATTGCTTGAACCAGCTCCTCGAGATATATCGTTGTAGTTCGATCATCCAGCCACTGAAAGCTATCAATAATACAGAGCATAGTGTCTAGCATAAGGGATAGCAAGTCTTGAAGTAGGCTTAACATCTGCGACCAGCACAGGATAGATCCGTCGATTATTTGAAGTCGGTTTAAAGAGAAATCGGGACTCGCTTCGAACTGTGGGAGTAAGAGCTCGCTCATCTGCCGTATTAGAGCGCAAACTAGAGCTACACAGGATTGGGCCTCTCGTGTGGCATTGCCTGACCTCAGGTGTTCCCGGCGGCGAATTTCACAGAAGCTTTAGACAGAAAGACAAGCCAGTCAGTTTTTACGTTAAAAGTACCTATCCACTTACCTTTACGATGGGGTTGAAACACTTACTAGGAGATAACTGGGATGTGAGAGCTCTCTGCCAATTCCGCGATTCTGTTGGCTAGCATGGTGATAGGGTTGTCAAGATCGTCGGCTTCTATCAGTGGACCTTCGAGCCAAAGGAGACGAGAGGTTTTGTCTTTCATCCATTCACCAAGTCGACCGATGACTTCCGAACTAATACTAGCGGAGTTGAAAGATCTACCTAACAATCGCATGCGATCGCGGTGGAAGAAATCTTCCAAGTGCTTGGAATTTAGCACAACGTCCTCCGACTTCCATTCTGAAAGACATAGTGAACCCGACCTAACTGCTGGTGCAGCTCCCAGGTACTCTGGTCCAGCAAGCAGAGAAACAGGAGACAGGCCTAACATAAATAAATAGAATTTAGCGTTTTGGCCTTTATGTGCAATGGAGGAAATATCCCCTTACTCTTGTCAATTGAGTGCATATCCCCTATCCATACCATTGCTTTATCCTGAAGCATACTAGTTAGTCGATCAGCAAGCTGCTTAAACTGTCGTTCTTCTTCTCTTAAAAGCTGTCTCTCTCTTCGCCCTTCTGAAAGTTCCTTTTCAATCTTCTCTGCAGCATAAATCGTCTCGGCGTGTCGTCGCTCTTCTCCGGTCAGGCCCAACCTGATGTCTTGTGCGAGATCTTCAACAACCAACCTAGTTACTCGCTGTTCTGCACGGGAGCTCTGGGCTGCCAAGTTTCGTATCATATCAGATTTGTGCCTAATCGTCTCAACTTGGTTTTCGAACTTCTTATAGAAGTTCTCGTTGAAAGAGTCCAACAGCCGCTTGCGTCTTTTCTCTGATATCCAATCCATGGTATCTGAAAGGAAGATGAATACATGCGCATAGAAATCTGCAACTAGCTCCAACATTTCTCGGGTTCTGAAAAGCTCTAGCTCTGATTTACACTCGTAAACATGTTCGCTGATGCGGCACAAGGCTTCCGATAAACCCTCAGCAATGCGCTCGTGGTTAACACTGGCCTTAAGTAAAGTGAGAACGTGATATAGCGTAGGATAGGAGAGTGAGCTCACTTGTATAATAACGTTCAGCGTCCCAGCAAATATAGAGACATATTCGTTACCTTCTGGGATCAGCTTTAGCATTGACTTATGCGACTCTATCGTGCTGCAGAAGTTATGGAATAATTTTATGGCTTTTCCGCGGCGACTATTATCTCGCTTTGATTGTGATATCGTAGCAACCTCTTTGACAAGACTAACCACGTCTTCAATAGTGGGTTCTGATTTTGTTATATCCAGACGATCCGCAACAGGGCTATTTTTGAGAAAAGGGGCCCATTTCTCTCTAAGCTTATTTGATTCGACAGCTATAACAGCAGTAATAGGATCTCTATTTAAAGGAGACGTTAACGATAGTTGTGATTCTGAATAACTTGGGGCGGCCTCACGCATGACTTGAAGATGGCTGCCACGGCTCGAAGAATATTCGCCATGGGTTCGTCAAATCTCTCGGATCAGGTCGGTCACGACTTAAGACCTGTCCCAGAAGCTGGGCATCATCACTGCCGTGAGACAATCTACCTTCAACATCATTACTATACGTCCGCACAAGCCTCCGCGAGTCTCGAACATCATCCATTGTACTGGCCATGGAACTGTCTTACTATACGTCTTCATACAGTAAAGAGAACAGCTTTCAGAGTTGTTCATTTGTATTTTTACGCAGCATGCTAGGCAAGGCTGTAAAGGTGGGTGGACGCGCAGATGCTGACAGGCCTTCCTGTAGGCTCTGTCTAGCTTGCACTCGACAACGTCTAGTACACGCAGGATCTGGGTCTTATTGGATATCGACACGAGATATGTCAGGATAAGCAGGCTCTGTCGTAAGATACTACCCACCATTCATTAAGTCTCTGCCATTTCCGGACGACCTGCATAAAATGCGCGTTTAATGAATGTTTGGGGTCCAAAATCCAAACTACAAATAAAGCGCGAAGCTCTATATCATAAGCATAAATTGCAAGTAACTAAGGTCTTTTCTATTTACCTATGTCCATGACAACAAGGATACCCTCTCAATTCCTTCTCATACACCAGAAAATATCTAATTAAGAGAGTATTACTACATACATGGAGGCCAATAATCAAAGGCAAGCCACTTCTGCGGATAACAATTCCAGGGGTCCTTGGATTAGATACCGTGTGGAGTACCGAAACCGAGACACGAATGAATTAATCAGTCATCATGATACAGAAACTCCCGATTTAGACACTGATAATAGTGGTCTCGACAATCTGGCTTTTGCTGTAGTAACTACATTCAAGGTAGCACCGCCATCTCAAGTAGTATCATCAACGCAGCTGGTTCCTACCACAAACCGCGAAACTCAGTCATCCCGGTCATCTCTCCCAAGCTACTCTCTACATCTATACTCTCCGGCTATCGTCAATGCTCTACAGACAGTAGTCCAATACTACCCATCTCAAGATCTAACGGGTACTGTTGAAATAGAGTGGCCCTACCCAATCTTGGTTCATCATTACGACGAGCTCGAAAAGTTTCGTCAAAACGTTGCTCTCAAGGATGATTCTGAACTCTGTGTTCGAGAGAGACACGCGTATGAGCACATACGGTTACTCCTTGATTTTCTTGACCAGAACATCATGGGGGAAGTAAAAGCTGAAAAGGAACGAAATAGAAAAGGATTCTACACGTACGAGCTCGCCTGGGTAAGCCTGAAACCTGGCAGCACGGTTATGTTGCAGCCGCTTATAAGTTCCGACAAATTGGCGCCAGTGATACATTCCATTAAGGGTGGCATATTTGATACCCCTCGAACTTCCTGGTCAATTCAATATTGGTATATGCAGTACGATGGCTACTACCTGGGGAGGACTATGGAATTTGCGTCTATGGGAATCTTTGACGGGCAACGTGAGTTGAGAAACATAGAGGTCGACAATCTTACTGGAAAAGATCTCCCTACTGAAGTTGCAAATCAGTTAAACTATGGCAAGGCTTATTGGAATTTATTAAGGAAGCAGTGCAGACGTTACAAAGGGAAGACTGAAGCTTTTCCGTATAACGAAGTATGCTACATCTACCCCCAAACCGTCAGAGCAATGAAGCTTACAAGAAACTAGGTTGATGGTCTAGTGATGACCGATCTTAGAAGCTACTATGCGGATCAGGGAAGCAAAGTCGACTTGATGGACACTTCCGACTGTCGCAACTGGATCTCGGATTGTAAATGTCTAGTTTGCAAGAGTGTAAATACGAAGAAGGAGAGGAAGATGATATCTCTCTTCGAGGATTACAGCCTCATCGGGATCGAAACAACAGACACGCTTACACCCCATATGTATTTTCTTTGCAGCTACGATATAATGGCATTTGTCTTTAGGACTCGTAGATGGGGTGAGTTAAAACAGCATTGCCCCATTCCATTTATTTAACAAAATAATGTGAGCTCAACTAATACTTGGATAAGAATGCTTACACGTGCGCTACTTCTCCGAGCCGCAATTCGACGAGGAATTGATCGACCATCTTGTCATGGAGCGACATAGGAAACAAACATTGAAGTCATTAGCAAAAAGCTTTGCTCGCGTAAATCAGTACGGAGATGCCATGACTCGAGATCCGTGGACAGCGGACTTCGTAGAAGGTAAAGGACAGTATGTATTCCCGAGTGCCACTTCTTACTCAGAACTAAGGCTCCAGGGGCTTCTAAGTTCAATACCTGGCATGGGTCGACTGTTATTAACACATTTTCGCCAACAGCGGCCTCATTTTCTTACTACATGGTCGACCAGGGGTAGGCAAGACATGTACTGCTGGTAAGAAACACTTCTATATTTGATATCACAGGTTGAATGTACTAACATACTAAACTATCTGTGCAGAGTGTATTGCAGCCTTCACAAAACGCCCGTTAATGGTCTTGACATCCAGCGACATAGGCACCGACCCAGCAACCGTTGAGGTCAACCTGACAAAACATTTTAAGACAGCGAGAAGCTGGGGCGCTATACTTCTGATTGACGAAGCCGACGTTTTCATGGAACGCCGCTCAACAGCTGATCTTGTTCGGAACAGTTTAGTTGCAGGTAAGTTATTCTTGATCAGCATCAGTTATATCGCTATCTCGACAAATGTGTTTACTAATATAACACACGGCATCTTTCAGGCTTCCTTCGAGCGCTCGAGTTCTACGACGGCATACTATTCCTCACTACGAATAGGGTTGGCTCATTCGATGATGCCTTCATCTCGCGTGTACATCTGCAACTGTACTATCCTGACTTCGACGATGATCAGAGACGACAGATCTGGCAGACGTTCATAGACAAACTCGCCAAAGAACGAGGCGACTATATGCGGCTCAACGTCGATGCGAAAGACTATATCAGGGGTGCCGAAATGCGGGCCCTCAAGTGGAATGGGCGAGAAATCAGAAACGGTTAGTCACGAACTAATATCGTGCAGATATCTCCTCGATTTTTCTCCTGTCTAATCAAGTTAATAATAATAGCGTTCCAAACCGCCGTATCACTAGCAGAGTATGATGCCGAGAAAGGTGAGGATGGGAAAATTATGATCACAGACGAGCACCTCAGAGCAGTTGTTGAACTCTCCAAGGATTTCAAGAATTATCTCAATGAGCTCCACAAAGGAGACGAAGGAAAGCGGGCAGAGCGTAAATATGAGCGTTTGGATTCGTACGATAAAAGCTAGTTCCTAACCTAGGAGCTAACTTGTTTGATGTTCGCAGATTTTACTGAATCATGAAATCAAAATATTTTTATTTCATATGCTATCTAGATTCCTCGCCCTTCTCCACATAAAAGGGGCATACTCCTGATGTTCTAAGATCTCTATGGTTGGATGTGAGTGTGAGGCTATATATTTCTCATACAACTAGATAATTATATCTAAATGAGAGAGCAGTATAGGAAATCATATTTATCGGAGTGGTGAAAGTGGTGTGCAAATCGAAGAATGCCTTTCCCCGTCTAAGCTTTCACGTCATCATACATTCAACCCCTCGAAGTGGAATCCTTTGTACCCGTTTGATGCGCTGTATCCTAGGCTCGCTTTGTAGTTCGGTACGCCTCCCAAGTACATCTGCGATTTTCTTGGCTTCCCGGCGATCCCGTCACCCATGTACCACTGTTCATTCAAAATGTTAGCGTCTCTGCATTTCGACGTGACAAAAGTCTCTTTGGTATCGACTTACGCCCTTGGCCTGCGGAAGAAGCGATGCGTTTGTCACGCCTTCCACATGCTCGGACCAGATCTTCTCGCTTTCTTCATCCGCCACAATGCTGCTGATCCCCGCCTTGCGGAGGCGGTTCATGGCGTCGGCGATCCAGTCACCCTGGATCTCGGAGCATGTGGGGCCGTTGCAGAAAGCCGACGGAGCCTGAGGTCCGTTCGAGAAAAACATGTTCGGGAATCCGGCGATACAGATGCCGCAGAATGTGCTAGGCCCTTGCTTCTCGAACTTGTCCTTCACGGTCTGGCCGCCGATCCCGCGGATATCCATGGTCGTCAGGCCTCCTGTGACCGCATCGAAGCCAGTCGCGAGAACTAGGTAACTAAAGTCAGTATCCAACGCAAGGATCCAAATAATCAGGTAGGTACTTACTAATAACGTCAAACTCGAATTCCTTCTCGGTTGTTCGAATTCCAGTCTCTGTCACTTCAACGACAGGGGTCTGATTAACGTCGACGATGTCTACATTCGGCTTGTTAAACATGTCGAAGTACCCGTTTTCGAGCGGTACCCGCTTGCATCCAAACGGATAGGGCTGCTTTGTAGGCGCCAAAATTTCTTGGTGCCTCGGGTCGTTAAGACGAGCTCGCGTCTTCTCGCGCCAGAACTTGTACGCCTCATGATTGGCCTCGGGGTTGAAAAGCATGTCCGAGTATGTACCAAGCCAGAAGGTGAAATCTCCGTTCTTCCACAGGGCCTCGTAAGTAGCCTGCCGTGTAGCCTCATCATCATCGAAAGTCTTCTTCTGGAGGAGCTCGAAATCGAAACCCCAGTAGCGGGCGTTGCACTTATCAAAGAATTCTGCCAATTCCTCTTTAGGCATAGGTTCTTCGTCATCGGCATACTGTATCTGTCTCATTCGCAATGGCATGGCAGGTGTGCGCTGAAACACCACGAGCTCCCCAGCCACCTCGCTTACAGCGTGAGATAGCTGGACGCCGGTAGAGCCTGTACCAACAACGGCAACCTTCTTGCCCCTTAGATCCGGCTCATCGTGCGGCCAGTAAGAAGAGTGGACTATAAGGCCTTTGAATGACTCAATGCCTTTCCATTTAGGAGTCGACCGACTAGCTGCAATTCCGGTGTGCGGTAAAAAGAATTTTGACTTGAAGATCCGGCCATCCTTTGCCGTGATAACCCACTTATACTCCTTCTCATCCCAAATAGCTGAGGTGATATAGGTATCGAAGTAGGTGTCTTTTCGAAGGTCCCATTTCTCTGCCACAAAATCAAAATATTCTCGTAGTTCCTCGTGGCCGGGGAATCGCTGCTTCCAGTGCCAGTTCTGCCAGAGCTCGGGGTCCGAGAACTGGTAGTGGGGAGCATGGCTATCAACACGGGCGCCCGGGTACCTATTCCAGTACCAGACCCCACCGTAGCCAGAACCTGACTCTACAAGCTTGACCTTATAACCCTCGTCCCGGAGCTTTTTGAGTTGGTATACGCCAGCGAAGCCGGCTCCGATGACGAGAGCATCTAGCTCTTCAACGCGGATTGCTTCGAGTGAGCCCATTTTGCGTCAACTTATATATATAACTCGAGTTAGAGACGTCTAAGATGTGCTGTATCCTAGTGTAATCTTAGGTCTTAGAGTTAGATAATAGAGGTGAGAGTTATAATGTCCAAATCTGAACCTGTCTGAACTTGCAAGACGAAATTATCTCAGTTCGAATTCGAAGGCCTGGTAGCTCCGTTTTAATAATAGTGTTCCTGGACAAAGGATCGGGGATAGCGATTTATATACACCTCTTCAAAAGAAACACTCTACTCAGAACGGCGGTCACATAACTATTCGGATGGTGTCAAGCGTTGCCCCTCGGGGAATTTAGTGAAAGCCGAGTTTGTTAGTGCTTTCAACCCGCGTAGGCCGGGGCATGTGGACAAACAAAGACGTCAAGACGTGGGAAAGGGTCTAGCTTGAATAGTTCCCACGTCACCTTAGGGGTCATTTCCAGCGATATGGCATGAGTCCGTCCCTTATCCTATTTCCCGCTATTTTCATGGGCCTACGATTGAATATGTTGCCCTCGCACAAACTCACGTTTGGAGCATGTACTATTACTTGTTCCCGGAGTTTCCCTATTCACCCTTCTTTATTTCTAGTCAATATACTATACCAAAAGCAGGCTCCAGTCCTGCCACTAGGGAAAACAAAGGCATACATACAATCATCTCAATACCATAACGAGGGAATATTCCCGCAGCGTTCCGCATATTATGGTCTGATAGTTTCTCAATACAAACTTTAATTAACTCTTTGTCTGAACCCTTGACCCCTCATAAGTGCCACTCGAAACTGTGGCACAAACATTCACGCTTCTAATACGATACTACCCTACTTCTTTATTTATGTGCTTATATCTTACTACCTGTATGGTCAGAATCTGATGCTTTGACTTCGGCGCTAAACCATGTAGAGATGTTCTTTATATTTATGCCATAGTGTTACAGTTGTCGAGATGCCTTACAACTAATAGCTGTAACGCTGGAATGCCAGTGTAGCCAATCCTACTCACCAATGCCTAGGAATGCCGTACTAAACTCGGGGCTAAAGAATCCAGTTATTGTGCAGGATCCCCGTAATGCATGTAGGTATGTGCTTAGGATAAGAGATCATAGGAAGGCCTTGAAGTTACGAGCGGGCCATTCATCGGTAGATTCTACAATTACATCAAGTTTTTATTCCCGGCCAAAATCTTCAAAGTTTCTCCTCTAAGCTCGATCAAGCATTATGGTTCCATTTCGAAATTCAATTGGTGGGACTATTGTATCGTATTTCATGAAATATACCTAAGAAATTAAGCCCTTCTTGAAGTTCAATATGGTAATCATTTATAAGTCTGAATATAAATTCCGTATTACATCGTTCAATTTCTGTCAGATATCACGTAGGACCAACGAAAGCTCCAACGGATCGATGAACTAATTCAGTTTTGAATGTTTTATCGACGATACATTTTCAATTTGACATCACATTAAACCTTTCCAGCTTATATCACGGCAATAGTTAGCGAGATAAGATGTGTGGCTATTTCCGAAGTTACACGAGTCCCCTGAAAAGATGTGCCTCGCATCTCAACGTGGGGTACTGGGGTGAAGGTTTATTATGTTGCTGGAAACACGTTACCGCTGATTTCCTATGTCCCAATTTCCACAACTAATAGGTGTTCACACATGTCTCTGTTGAATATTCAAGTATCATAAACTCTTCATACGAGACATCTCAAAGTACTACATAGGTAGGATAGCATAGATCTAACAAACACAGTAGGTGCTACTGTTTCTCAGTTTGGTATATAATCACAGCGTGGTAGTTTCCCGCTTATCATACGCTTATAACCTCACACACATCTCTGATATCCCATTTTAGGGGTTTCATGACCTTCGGAGCTCTGTACTTTGAGCACATACCAACGAGTTTCATACGACATGAGCCGTTGATAGTCTTAGAAGATATCGTCAGGAGGCACCAACTTAGACGTCATAGTTCCTGTGATAGTTTTAATATAGGGTAGCTTTTGTTTCTGCAGGGACGCTACTCGACCATGGTTCAAGCCTACCTGTTGCCTTGTGTGCCCTAACAGATGGCTTATTAACGGCTACCCCGGAAGAACCATACACGTTAGGTATTGGTGGGAAAAGCTCGTTGAATTTTCGGAAAACCCATGTAGAATAATCCTGCATGATCAAACCCGAACTACCGGGTTTGATAATTTCTCTCAGGCCATTGGCTGAAGGTTAACAACGCTTATTCATTGTATATCCTATACATTTAAATGTGCATTATAACCTCCGTGTTACATCTACTAGACTTCAGAACCACTTGATTATTACCTTGAAAGCGAGTTGATGATTGGTAACTCTCTTGTATTCAGATTCAGATTCTACAGTTCAAGGCATCAGTAAGGTATCCACTGTATTATATTGGGAAGAAGTCCATATCAATCAGTGTCTTCTCCTTGGAATTACCGTTAAAACTGCTTCCGCCTAGATTCATCTCTGTATTTGGTCTTGTTAGTACCTTCCACCTCGCCGTCGAATACTAGCCAAGCATAACTACTATGTAGATCCTAGATATACCTAATGTACGTAATGTTAACCCCCTAAGTTTTCAGACTTCCATGCAAAACGGTTGCATCGAACGCAAACCCCACTAGCTACCGAGATGCATTACGTGTGCATACACGTCCGATCGCGATCGGAGGGTTCCAACCATACGAGACCCCACCATGCCTTAGGTACCTAACTATGAGGCTATCATGGAGAAGGGTTGATGTGTTATTCCCGTATTAAGACCACCGCATGGTAGCATACCGTCTCATTCGGACCATTGAGTTGGCCTTCACCCGTCAGCGGGTTAGAGGGCCAATGCATCAGCAGATCGCGACATCTGTTTGTAGTACATCATGACGCAGTCATACATAACAACAGATATATAAATTTATGTAGTGACTATGTCTTCCCAATTAAGTAAATTTCTCATCAGCCTTATTCAGCCTTACAGCGCGTCGAAAGGTGCATATCTTACGTGAGGTCCTGCGTAACTAGTGTCTGTAACGGCCAAGTTGATGCATGTTGATTAGTAAACTTGAATGTTATTGGACCGTAGATGAAGTTCGGGATTCGGTATGAATTTGATGTTCTACTTGATCTACCAACGTTCAATTGGAACCAATAAGCAATCCTTCATAGATACATAATGCTTAGAGTGTAGGCAAGAGTATCGGCGATAAGGAGATGGTTCTTATGTCGGTGTCTTCTTTAGCTATTAACAATGACACTACCGTTCAATCCTCAATTTTCATTTTCCTTGGTTGGCTAGCCTTTCTTTCCTTGTCATGGTTTCCCTCGGTGCCAAGAATCAGTAAACAAAGAGGCCGAGTATGCCGCAATCCGTATTAAGTTCCTGTTGAAAGAGAGGCTAGAGAGTTTCCAATTCGATGGCGCCTAATATAGGGTTACAGAAACCGTGCCGCTCTTAGTATAGCCTTCATATAATCTCGCAATCTAATCCTCGTAGAATGAACATTGTAGAAATTTCAAGTCTGGTGATTTTGATACAAATATCATAACAGTGGAGTTTTCCTTAAGCCCAACTCCTGACTATTCCTAGACCTCTCTTGGGTAACTCTACCATTTTCTTGTGCCCCTGTGATCCTCGCTGAGTTTTACAATGACTCTCCCCCACGCTTGACCCATCGCTCATCACTCGCGCTTCTAGTTTCCAGGGTAAGGATGTAAATATGTATACACCAGACTAGTCATGAGCTCAAATATCACAACCCATCCATTACGGCAGTTTAAACCGGCAGGCGAAAGACGGATATCTCGGATTCTGAAAACAAGTGATCAAGCACTCGGCGTCGCCCACGAAAACATCACTGAACACGGCTCTAAGCATTTCTATTTTCTAAGCGCCTAGTATAAGTGATAGGTAGGGAACTTGAAATGACCATCCAACCCAGCGATTAGAGTTTATTTCAGGTAAATGGAATAAAACTATTGATATTTTTATTCCAATTTAAATACATAGAACTATATTGTAAAGAGTAAAGTGATTATGTTCATAATTCATAGGCAAAGCTGTTGTTGTTTTAACGTTGATAACTTCTTCCAAGGTTCAGGTTACATTAGCAGATTACCTAATGCAAATCGTATAGCCCCGCCACACGTGGCTGGTAATTGTACGTACCACACCTAGGTAACCTGCAAGGCTGATAGGTACATACATACAATACCCACCAGCCACGCCCACTGGGGGGGGGAACTAAGCTTATGCAGCTCCGGCTGGCAACGCGCAGCTCAAGTTGCCTAACGAATGAAGCTCCCTCATCAAACATCACCAAACATCACCAAACACCGCCGAGCTTGATTTTACCCATATTCCCTCTCCAAACCCATACAGTCATTATATCCCAGTAGTCTCGCGCGCACATAAATCAACATGGTAAGCTTAATTAATAAAAATTATACCCTTCTCAAGCTTACATTCCTCTCTCAAAATAGACGTCGATAGGAACGGGCTACGATCTTGCCAACTCCATCTTCTCGCCTGACGGACGAAACTTTCAAGTTGAATATGCAGTAAAGGCGGTAGAGAACGGTGGAACGTCAATCGGTATCCGATGCAAGGATGGAGTGGTCCTAGCAGTCGAGAAAGTCGTCACATCCAAGCTACTAAAGCCAGGCGCAAACAAGAGGATTGCGACCGTCGACAGACATCTGGGAGTGGTATGTTGCCCTATATCCTCTCCACCTGCTATGATAAATGATAAATGTTACTGACGCATGCTCGTTTAATAGGTCTACTCAGGCATGGTACCTGACGGCCACCACTTCGTCGACCGAGCCCGAGACGAGGCCCGCGCCTGGCGCGAAACCTTTAAGACGCCTATTTCCACATCAGATCTAGCAAGCCGCATGGGTGGGTACCTACAAGCCTACACACTGTACCAGTCCGTCCGCCCATTCGGCATTACTGCTATTGTAGGCGGCTTCGACTCGGAGCTCGAGGCACCCGTCGATGGTGAAGTCGGCTCCGGCCCCTCTGTCGGTGCCGGTGGTAAGGTAGAAGGCAAGAAGCACGGTGGCCCGGGTCTCTACATGATTGAGCCGAGCGGCATGTACTGGGGATATTACGGCGCAGCAACGGGCAAGGGCCGACAAGCCGCCAAAGCAGAACTCGAGAAGCTAAACCTCACCGAGGGCACCCTCGACCTGAAGCAGGCCGTCAAGGAAGCAGCAAGAATTATCTACGTCGCGCAGCAAGACAATAAGGATAAGGAGTTCGAGCTGGAGATGAGCTGGATTAGCGGGGTTGACGGCCCAACCAAGGGCCGGCACCAGGACGTCCCTAAGGACTTACTCGAAGAGGCCGAACGCTTAGCGAAGAAGGCTCTCTCGGAGGACGATGAGGAGGAGGAAGAGGAAAAGGGTGATGATAAGATGGAAGAATAAAGCAGCCATCTAACCCTCGGTCAGGGGAAGCGCGACTGTACTTGTACAACTACGTGGCGAAGCGCTCGGGATAGGGCGAGGCTCATAGATTAATTTCTTATAAGAGCCACGGTTTCTGATCGACACTCGTATGGCGACGGTTTCATGTCACCTTCTACCCTTAAGTAGACCCGTTAGAGCTCCCTGATTCTTTATGATGATGATGAACTTGTTAACATCCAGAGGATTTACACAGGCTATTTACCTAAGTGTATATCCTCCCCAACTCTTTTTTGGAAGTGGAAATCGCAGTAATGTGTTTTGTTCCCAACCCCAGAGACCCCTTGTACTTTTCACGGTATCCACAGCTCATCCTGCCAGCGGGGTTGAGGTTGCTTGCAACCAGGTCGAAAGCATTTACCACTGAGAGCTAAGTATCCCCCACCACGTATTGTTCACTTCAATAGTACCCAGTAATCAACTCAGTGTAGACCCATAATCACGATAGTACAAGCACATTTAGCAAGAGACCCCTTTGGATGTTAGATGATGGAATTTCTCAACGCATTAAACTCGGAATTCTACGCAAATGAGGCTAAAAGCCAACGTTGCAATAAGCATCGCAATATATCCTCTGACCAGTCATGTCAGTTCATCCTCCCCCATTCCATCCTTCCCCAGTTCATCCTTCCCCAGTTCATCCTTCCCCAGTTCATCCTTCTCCAGGTCTTACTCCTGTCCGATCGGTCGTCTCGGACGGACCCGAAAGAACTCCCAGCGGTCGGACGCGGTCTCTCCCTCTCCATGTTGCTGCCACATAGCCATGAGCGTCACCGACTCGCCTTCCTTCTCGAGAAGCACTTTGTTCTCATCAATCCAGTCCTGCACGTTTGCCGGCGCCTTGGGCATGACAGGGACTCTGTACTTGGCCCACTGGTTGAAGTGCGTGGGAAGGACCGCGTTCGCATTGTTGTGCTCGAGACCGCCCAAGTTGTTGATCCACTCACTGAATCTCGGGTGGCGATGCATGAGATCAGTCCACTTCTGCATTGCCGCCGGACTCACGTGTTCCATTGCGCCTGGAGTTAGTGGACCGCGGGCAGTCAACAAGTCCTCCATGAACCCCAGTAGCTTACGGTACAGGTAGCCTCTTTGATTGTGTACGAAGACCTCGTAGAGGCCGGCAGCGTCAAACGGACAATCTCGAGGGTTGAACTGGAACCTTGTATCGCTTCGCACACTGAGACCCCAGGTGTACTTGATGACGATAAGACGCAGGCAGTAGTTGGCAAGCTCGTGCATCTCAAGGGTTATCGCTGCATTCCAAAGAGCCTCGATGTCGCTATTGTGGCCAACAGTAGCGTCGCTGATGTCAGAAGGATCCATCAATCTTCCAACATAGCACCACTGAACGATCTGCCTCCAGATCATAATAGCCCGACGGCCATTCTCGCCAAAGGTTATCCAGAGGGCAGTCACAGGCTTTCGGGCTCGTTCAATGGCGTTCTTGATGACTGGGGACCAGTAACAGAGCAAGCTGGCGTGGCAGGTGACATGGTGACGCTCGCGTCTCACTGCGTATCCGATGGCGATCATTCGTTGGCTTCCGTTCGCCAAGCTGTTCTTTGTGAGCTTTATTGACTTGGTAACAATCATACGGCAATGACTTGGTGTTTTACTCACAGTGTTGCAACAATCTGCGTGTGCTCAAAAAGCTCGCGATTGACTTCGCATTGTCCCTTCAAGCCGTACGAGCATGCCTCACAAGTACAGTACTTGATGAACTCGGAGCCAGTTGGTATTCTAGACATCTTGGCTACCGACGATGGATAGTCTCGGCAGGTTATGTCTATATGTATGGAACAAATGCAGGTGGTGGATGCAGAATGGTAAGATCTGGGGTTGAAAAGAAGGTGATCAGAGAGAAAGAAACTTTCGAGGAAGAGGAAGGATGCTGTCGTCACTCTGACGATATTCTAGAGGATCGCTCGGCCAGCAGAATGTGAACAGAAGACGGAACTTCAAGGGAACAACATTCAACGAAATGACGGTGTCGCGGGTGAGCTATCTGGCAACTGAACTCGCCACCGAGACTGGGTGAGATCTGGCAGAAGAACTGCTCGTGAAAGAAGGTTCCGGTGAGTGTTCGCAGGAGGAAGTAGAAGATGCAAGGGAAAATTGGAGGTGCTTCTGTAGGGTTAAATGGAGTCTGAGAAGTAGGACAGGATGAGAAGCAGAATATTTGCGTGAGAATTTAAAATCCCCCACGAGATACCATGCGTCCTCACCTACCACCCCCTCTTCGTCTTGTCTCTAGGTTTCTGACAGGGTGCTAAAGAAAATATTGTGTGATGTGCGACCGTCGATAGGCTCTAGAAAACTGCGTAACAAGCGTCGCTGTCCCTTATGACTTGAAAAGAGACGAAAAGACCTCGTAGGTGCAAACCATACTACTAGTGCTCTCCTCAACAAAGATACACTAGACGTCTAGATGATAGGTGCTAGATGCGTCCAGGACAAATATGACATGGGGTTTCAGATCGAGCCTCTGTCGTTCTAGTTCCCGTCCTATGTTCATGGAGCTATGACCATTTGGATCTTGACTCACAAATAGCGTCTTGGTGAGAGTAGCACACATTCAACCAGATAGTATGGGTTTAAACCAGGCATCAATTACATGTACTCGCATTGGTGGACTAAGAAAGGACCTGCATGCGTCCCCTTATTCTACCCACCCAGTGCGGCCCCAGGTCCAGTACCTGCCTTGTGTTTGCCTGCTGTACATACCAGTTCACCATTGTGGTCCCCCCCCCCTAAAGGGCATGAGGCTACGGCGCCCCATGGGGAAGCACATGAGCGACCTATTGGCCAGAAAGGGGCGCCTTCCCCGATGTGGTAATGGCTAGTATATCTATCGTGAATCTTCTGCCGGAAGTCGGCAGACAGGGGGGGAGGTTATCGAGATCTAAGCCTATCCTAAGGGGCGATCTTGTACCTTGCCGCAGGACAAATAAAATCGTCCCATTCGTGATTCCTAGCAAAAGGTGTGGAACAAGGGGCTCAACACTCATGGCCCACATATCAGTGTGCTGTCAAAAGGGGGGAAGCAGCAAAAGATACCTCGGAACTTCAATACCTACTCAACGCAAGTGAAGTATCACGTATCCCTCATCTGGAGTGGTTGCGCGCAATTTATTCGTACATCATTGTATTTTTCATGGCATGATCTAGAAAAGCTTTTATAATTGTTGCACTTGCCGGTTTGCCCTTTTGGATAAGGGTTGATGGAGTCCCAAGTGTAAATCACTCAGAGGCTAGATACTAGAATAGGTACCTACGTGATTAGTGCGAGCAACACGGTGGAACTGTGAGGAAGCAAGATCACAATGTGGACTAGGGCTGCACACTCTAGCTTACTTGAATCAGCTCCATCTGAAGGTAGCCATGGGTTAGGTATTTTTGGGAATACGTTAGGTAGCCCGGTGATCTGAGGCGGGAAATTCATTTCACGTTGATATGTTAGCGACGAGAAGTATAACATACTGCTAATATGCAGCTTCAGCTAGGCTGTAGGGCCGATTTCAATCGTGGGCCATTCGTGAAGTAATAACTAAATCTGAGAGTACCTAACCTAGAGAATAGGAGTGAACATAGAAAGAAGGGAAAAGAAAGAATTATCAACCAAAGGATAGTAGTGAAAATGCCAGTCTGCAGCTATAATCAATGGGCATATCACCCTACTTGCGTCCTTCCATGAGAATTATACCCTTTGGCATACGTGACAGGAACTGAACTGCACTAGGTCGGTGCTCTAACGGTATAAAAACTAATTCAATATAATCCTAATCCTAAGCCTTCAATATCCTGTCTTCCTCTTGTTTTATATTGGTGATATTCTTTGAGCTGTAAAGAATAATAATAGATCATCTATGACATGGTGAATTACTTACCTCGGTATAGCTAGACTACCTATTTCATGTCTTCTTAAATACCCACGTAAGACCCATACTATATACTCAATCCTTTTGAACCTGTTAGGCTTTAGATGAGATATCTAGAATAAAGAATACCCCCAGCATGTATAGCCACAGACTCCCATAGTTAATTTGGAGTTCCTTGCGAAATAACCAAATTGTTTCCATGCTTCTTCTTGTTCTATATCGTGATAGAAGCTCTACTAATGACATATAGTTATAAGCAGCAAGTTCTACGAGTCAGATAATAGCTTGACCTGACTTGGCCCTGGCTTGACTTAGCCTGGGTAGATCCTTTTTTAGGGATATCTATCCGAGTTAAGCGCCAAATCTTTTTTATTTGGTATTTTATACGAATACTTTTAGGGCAATTTTATTGGTTATTGGCAAGGGTTTTGGGTCAAATATATTAGGTGGCTGATGTGGCCAAGTGTAGCTTTATAAGGGCATACAGGCCAAGTCGATGATACGGCTAGGTAAGCCTCAAATCTAATATATCTGACCTGACCTGACTCGTGGAACTTGCTGAACTGTTAAGTATATACAGGTATACAAAGCAAAAGATCACTTCCTACCTCGGATTTATAAATCAACACTTCTACTTCCTCGGCCGACCTAAAATCTGCGTCGAGCTGTTTCCCAACTATCATTACTTATTTGTGTTTTTATAACAGTTATTAAATACCTAACTCAATACTATTCATGCGTGAAATTGCTAGCTTTACACGTCTCCAAATAATTTGAGAACTACCAAAGACCATCATAAAGAATTTCATTTAACACTCATATAAGTCCCTTTACAGCTTTAATCGTACCACTCCCTATAACAGAGTAAGAATTTTGCTGTCTTAGAGCAACTGCATACGTTAAGCACTTGCATCCTCTATATACGCAAGATGTGGCACTGACCCATCCTCTCTTTCCTTTAACAGTATGTACCGGTGTGTACCGGCTCCGCTTGGACCCACATCGGCCCCCGCACTCGTGCCGTGCCGGACGCAGGTCCAGACGTACCTACCTAAAACATGCATGCAATTGCCGCTAGAAGCACAGACCATGTATAAGAGAAGCAACAACTTTGGGAAAGAGATTCCCAGATCAACATTTGTATATGTTGAGCTCTTCCCTTGATATCTTCGAGATAGGGCAGCAATGCCATATTGCCCCTTCCTGAATCTACTATGTCCTTGGCTGCTATGTCTGAGCTGGTAATACTAGTACTAAGTAAATTTATACACCTTAGGTATTCTCCTAAGTTATCTAGAAGAGGTGTATGACGATGTAATATACTGAATGACTTAAAGCTTAGAGTACCACTATTAGAATACAGCAAAGTGATAGCCCTTCAAAAATAAAAAGCGGATCAATCCAGAGATCCTACTGAATAAACCAACTTACCACATAATACTTACCTTCTGCAATCTTAGCACATAGACACTTCGGATACAGCTCTTTTGCGTATTGCAATTTGCACTTCATATTACTAAGTAGCTACATTACATAGCCCTTAGACCAGAGGGTTTTAACCGGGTATCATCCACCACCCCCCCTGGAGCGCAAATAAATCCATGCGTCCACAACAGCAAACCTCTAGGGACCAGGTATCAAAGCAGTAGTAACTAATGTACAAACCGGCAGCAAGATGGTCAAGCTAATGAATCCTGCACCCAAGATGAGTAGGAAGGTATAATCACGTTGAAAACCACGAGCCCTAACGCCAAATCCCAGTGCATTAATACATGGAAAATAACGTGGGCCCCCCATTTTGGTTTTACAACTAACCCTTCCCGTATCCGCAGTCAATCTGGTCTCCTAAACGTCTGCGACGCAATGTGTAACCTCTTTGCCAAACCCCCCTGCACTTCGCCCAAAGTGCATCTCGTTCATGGCATGGCTTCCTGCTTGGGTTGCGTAAATAGTACGTCTTCATCTGGGGCGAGTAATGCGGGTCTTCGTGCCGAAAAAGTTCCGGAATGCATAAAAAAAACAAGGAAATCGTAGTGGCAAGTAGTGTGGATCGTGATGGACCGCGATCATATCGGACGTAGTACTCCTCGTGTTGCTGAGGAAGCATCGAAATCGTAGAAAATAGTGATCAGAGTCGTAAGGAAATAAGCGATTCGTGAGTTGGCACCTCACGAAATGGAAGTGCAGAACAGGATATCTCGACGTTGGGACTCGAAAGCCTAAGCTTCGATGTCCGTCGAAAGAATAGGTCGGGTGTCTGGGGGGAAAAAGACCAGACGCCAGACCCTTAAAACCATACGCCATGCTCTGATAACACATTATGAGGATTAAAAAAAAAAAAGGCACCGGCCAATGAGCAAATTAGATACCGGATCCAACATAGCTCAGGGCAATGCAACCGGCCGGTATGCTATGCAAATGCCTGTCTAATGCTGAAATGAAAAAATGGGTATAATAAAAACGAAGTCGACTAAATCAAATAACCCAGTCGGAAATAAGGACATGAAAGAATTGATGAAGGCGGTGCAACGACTAGTATTGTCAAGGAGAGAGAGACAATGGTCTCGGGTTGCTCTGGCCTAGAAAAGGCCTGTGGGTATTTAAAAGGATGCCATGCGGCGGGCAGGCGATCGGTTGTTGCCAAGGATCGGTGAGTTGCCAATCATCATGACCGGCGAAGGGTGTTCATAGCGTCTTTCAGGGGCGGTAGGAGAAGCTTGAACCATCGACTCTCGATGCCCAAAAGCAAAGGTCTTGGCTCTACCCAGACCTTTTCTCTTCTGTTGCAACTTGCCCAATTCGCGCTCACAAGTTCTAGCATGCTCCTCAGCGCCCATCTCGACGTAGGCTTGGGGATAGCATCGTTCGCG